GCCAGTGGCCCCACACGACCCCTAGTGGTCGGAGGCAAAGAATTCCGAATCGGTCGCCCGGGTTTGAACCCCACCTGGCCATCTGCCCTTCCTACCTGGCGGAGGTCGGTCACTTTCGCGGGAGTTCGGTTTGGACACGGGGGTGATACACCTGCCACACCCTGGGGTGGTCGCGAAAGTGCAGTAGGCAGGGCTGGTGAAGCTCCCGGCGCGGGTCCTGGTCGCGGGGAGCGCGCGGTAACCGTGCCTGTTCCGTCCCGGGCCAGTTCGGCTCCCTGTTCAAGCCCTACATCCGATACTGCATGGAGGAGGAGGGCTGCATGGAGTACATGCGCGGCCTTCTGCGCGACAACGAGCTCTTCCGGGCCTACGTCACGGTGAGAGCGGGCGGGGGCGCGGGCCGGTGGGCCCTCCCGGGCGGCAGGTGCGCGGCGGGCGGGGCCTAGAGCCGGGGGGCGGGGCATGCCCTGAGCCCCGCCCCCGCCTGCGCCGCAGTGGGCCGAGAAGCACCAGCAGTGCCAACGGCTGAAGCTGAACGACATGCTGGCCAAGCCCCACCAGCGGCTCACCAAGTACCCGCTGCTGCTCAAGTCCGTGCTGAGGAAGACGGACGAGCCGCGCGCCAAGGAGGCCGTCGTCACCATGGTAACCGGGCCGGCGGGCGGGGTCCCTCCGCGGCTCGCGGCCCCTCGCAGACCCTGGGCCTGAACCCGCCGCCGTCCGCCCCCGCCCCCAGATCGACTCGGTGGAGCGCTTCATCCACCACGTGAACGCGTGCATGCGGCAGCGGCAGGAGCGGCAGCGACTGGCGGCCGTGGGGAGCCGCATCGACGCCTACGAGGTGGTGGAGGGCAGCAACGACGAGGTGGACAAGGTGGGGGACCCCTGGCCCTGCTGGAGCGGAGGAAGGACCAAACTGGCAGACCGGGGCTGTGCTGGGAATCTCGCTTGAGGATGCCTAGCCGAGAACGGGAATCAGACCGTGACCTCTCTATCCTCCCCCCGGCGCCCCCCCCCTCCATCGGCAGCTCCTGAAGGAGTTTCTGCATCTAGACCTGACAGCACCCATCCCTGGCGCCTCCCCTGAGGAGACACGACAGCTGCTGCTGGAGGGGAGCCTGAGGATGAAGGAGGGGAAGGACAGCAAGGTGACTCTAGGGGCCACCCACCCCCAGGGCCCCTTCCCCACCCGCTCCTGCCCTGTGGATTTGGACCACCCTTTCCTGGGAACCTTCTGGGCCCTAGTTAGTGGTTCTCAGCTGCCCTGTCAGTTGGGTGGCAGTTCAAGAAGGAATGACTTTGTGGTCATGTGAGGGCTGAGATCTGCCTGCAGTTTACTCTTTAAAGATATGGCAGCAAGGGCAGAGCAGGTGGGGGGCTGGGCTTGCCCGCTTGCTGGTGCCATAAGGGTTCCTGATGGGAGGGAGGGGGTGCATTCCAAGAGCAGGTCAGGAACAGCCCAGAGCCTTGCTTCCGAGCTATTAATCCCAGGTGCATAACCCAGAGCCTGCAAATTGTGGTTTTAAAGATTATTTATTTGAGAGAGAGAGAAAGAGTGCATGCGAGCGGGGAGAGGGGGAGAGGGAGAGAAGCAGACTTTACACTGAACGTAGAGCCCAACGCAGGGCTCGATCTCAGGACCCTGGGATCATGACCTGAGCTAGAACCAAGAGTTGGATGCTTAACTGACTGAGCCACCCAGGTGCCCCCAAATTGTGGTTTTAAAATCACAAATCATAAATTCCCTTTTTCTCTTTAATGTAAACTTCTTATTGAAATAAATTACAAGTACATAGCTCCATGAAGGAATACCATCTTGCTCTTCATTTTAATTTTTTTTAAAGATTTTATTTATTTGAGAGAGAGAGAGAGAGCACGAGCAGGTGAAGGGGGAGAGGGAGAAGCAGGCTCCGCGCTGAGCAGGGAGCCCGATGCGGGGCTGGATCCCAGGACCCCGGGATCATGACCTGAGCCGAAGGCAGACGCTTAACGAACTGAGCCACCCAGGCACCCCTTTGTTCATTTTAATTTTATTCTCAGGTTCATGGGAGGCAGGGAGCAGGGAAGGTGTTTGACAAAATCTGAGTGCCCCCAGCAACGTCACCAAAGTGCAGTAAGGAAGAGCTTGTGCAGGGCCCAGCCCAAGAGAGGGTGTCACAGCAGACAGGCTGAGGTCCCAGGACCCTGGCCCTGATCCCTGGCCTCGCCTGCTCCCCTTGCTGCCCCCCCCCCCAGATGGACGTGTACTGCTTCCTCTTTACGGACCTACTCTTGGTGACCAAGGCAGTGAAGAAGGCTGAGAGGACCAAGGTCATCCGGCCACCACTGCTGGTGGACAAGATTGTGTGCCGAGAGCTGCGAGACCCTGGTGAGGAGCCTGGCCCTGCTCCTGGCCAGGGGCTATGGCGGGCAGGGGCTCTGGTCCTAGCTGACACTGATGCAAGCCCCTCCTCACCAGGCTCCTTTCTCCTCATCTACCTGAACGAGTTCCACAGTGCTGTGGGTGCCTACACTTTCCAGGCCAGTGGCCAGGCTTTGTGCCGTGGCTGGGTGGACGCCATTTACAATGCCCAGGTGAGAGCCGCGTGGCGGGCGGGCGGAGGGGGTGCCCTGGTGGGGCTGCTGTCCACAGCGCCGTCCCCCACCTGCAGAACCAGCTGCAGCAGCTGCGTGCCCAGGAGCACCCCGGCGGCCAGCAGCACCTGCAGAGCCTGGAGGAGGAGGAGGATGAGCAGGAGGAGGAGGAGGAAGACGATGAGGAGGAAGAGGAGGAAGGGGGGGAGAGTAGCACTTCTGCCACCAGCTCCCCCACCATCCTGCGCAAGAGCAGCACCAGTCTCAGCTCCCAGCACTGGTATGCTCGCCGGGCCCCACCCGGCCGGCCAGAGCAGGGCAGCTGCTCCGGCCCAGCGCTCCTGACCCCAAGGCCCCTGAAACTGGCCAGGGCGCAGCCCCCACCCCTTCCTCTGAATGGTGTCATGCGGTGACCCCCGTGTCGGGGAGACGGCTCTGTCTCCCACCAGAGTCCAGGCGGGGATGGCAAAAGGTTTTTAGCTTGAGTGCCAACTCGGACCCTCTAGTGCTGGCTGGGGGGAGAGCTGAGCCGAGGATCCTTAAGCTAGCCAGCTGGAGGGGGTACAGTGGGGGGGGGGCGGCCGCCAACCGTGGTTATCTGTGTCACGGGCCCAGGAGTGGGGGGTCCGGCTGGTGGGCCACATGCTGCGCTGAGCCTCAGGCTCGGGCAGGGCAGAGGCTATAGACCTCTGCGTGCCGGGCATGGGCTGCCCCAGGCCACCTCCGTGGCTGGGCTGACGGTCTCCTCCCGGCTCCACAGTGCCTCAGATGGCTCGACCGAGACCCTGGCCCTGGTTGTGGTGGAGCCTGGGGAGCTGCTGTCCTCTCCTGAGTTCGAGGGTGGCCCCTTTGGCTCCCAGTCGGACGAGACCTCGGTCAGCACCACTGCATCCTCCATCACGCCCACCAGTGAGCTGCTGCCCCTGGGCCCGGCAGACGGCCGCTCCTGCTCCATGGACTCGGCCTACGGCACCCTCTCCCCCACCTCCCTGCAGGACTTCGTGGCCCCAGCCCCTATGGCGGAGCCAGTGCCCCGGCCCCCAGATTTGCCACAAGCCCCTTCACCCCCACCCTCTCCCCGCCTCCGCCGCCGCACCCCTGTTCAGCTGCTGCCCCGCCTGCCCCACCTGCTCAAGTCCAGATCTGAGGCCAGCCTCCTCCAGCTGCTGTCAGGGGCCACCGCCTGTGGAGCGCTCCCAGCCCCCAGCCGCAGTCTGTCAGAACTCTGCTTGGCCGTTACGGTCCCCGGCATGAGGACTCAGGGTTCCCCTCAGGAAGCTGGGCCCAGCTGGGTTCGCCGGGGGACACCCAGCCCTGGCCGTGGCCCCAAGCCATTGGAGCCAGAGGGCAGAACCAGCTGCCCGGCTGGGGAGCCTGAAAGGCCCGCCAGGAGGAGCAAAGAACTGCCCTTGGGGGCCTCGCCCAGGGTCCAGCCCGAGCCCCCCCCAGGGATCTCTGCCCAGCACCGGAAGCTGACGCTAGCCCAGCTGTACCGGATCAGGACCACCCTGCTGCTTAACTCTACGCTCACTGCCTCGTGAGTGGCCTGGGGTGGCGGGCCGATGGCCCGGGGTGCTGGCATTGGGGGCACTGAGCCTCAGGAATGGGTGGGGGCACTCTCGTGGCTGGGAGCATGTGGCATTAGGGGATGGGGATGGGGGCCTGCTCCAGAGCCTGCATGAGACAGTATCTACAGTGGGCACTGGGAAGGGGCCTAAGGATTCCAGTGGGGCAGAGAGGGTGGCCAGAGCCCCTCTGAGTGGCGTCAGCCAAGGAAGGACTATCTCTCCCTTCCCCTCTCCTGCAGGGAGGTCTGAGCAGAGGGAGGCCCCCCAGGGTGCCACTGACCACGAGACAGCAGACAGCACGCCTCCTGGGGCCTCCCGGTCCCCGCTCTAGCTGCTGCCTGCGCACGCGGGAGCCAGAGCGTGGGGGCAGGACCCCTGATTTGCACTTTGCCAGACTGGATGGAAGTGGAGGAGTGTTCAGCTCCAGGCCCAGGCTGTAGTCCTTCCTCAGGACCCCCCACAAGGCCACCTTCACTAACCTGTCCACCCCACAGGGTCCCTTGCTCGCTGCTCCCTGAAGTCACCAGCTCCAGTCTTCTGGGCTGGGCTCCAGGGTGGCCCTTCCCACCTCCCCCTTCATCTGGCCCCAGCTGGGATGTTTGTTCCCCCGGCCTGGCCTTCCTCACTCCCAGTCCCACTGGCCACCCCAGGCTTGGGTTCGGCTCTGTGTCAAGTGGCATATTTATTGAGCTTTTGATTCTTTTATAAAGACTTGTATATACTACTGGAAGGAGTCCTTTGCTTTTGGAACCCACCCCTTTCCTGACTCAGGAGCACTTGAGCTCTGGGGCAGGCATGTCTCACTCCTGTCCCCCTCCTGTCTCCCTCCTGTCCCCCTCCTGTCCCGCTCCTGTCCTGCTCCTGTCCCCCATCCCGTTTCTGTCCCCCTCCTGTCCCCCTCCTATTCCCCTCCATCTGTGGTAGGGCACTAGTGGAGGAGACTGCGAAAGAGCCTTAGTGAGTGAACAGGGCAGAGGTGACCAGACCAGCACCCCAAGATCAACCTCACCCCCTGCCTGAGCCCCAAGGTCCACCCTAGACCCCCCATGAAGTGCTCCCTCCCACGAGGTGCCTCAGAGGGCCCTGCCCTGGGCGGTCCCTGTAAGCTTATGCCAGGGTAGGCGATGTGTCTTAGGGTCTAGGGAGAATGCCCCCTAGACCCCCCCTCTAGGGGAGGGGCCCCATACCCACACCCAGGCAGTATCTGGGGAGGCTGGGTCTCCCTCCTGCGTAGTTCTGGCCCAACCCCTCATGGCTGAGGAAGGGCTGAGGCCCGAAGGAGGGAAGTTACTTCACCTGGAAGTGGTAGTCTCAGGGTTGAGGCTAGGACCCAGGCGTGGGGACCTGGATGCAGCCGTGTCCTGGGTACACCTTGCTGCCCCCGGGCCGCCTCAGGTGAGCTCAGGTGCACAGGGGCAGGCTGCGTGGGCTGGGGGCCCCGCCCTGACCCCCTCCCCTGAGGCGGGCTCCTCTGGGCGGCTTGGGGCAGAGCAGGCGGGCAGAGCGGGCAGAGCGGGGAAGCCCCCGGCTGGCGCACGCCTGTCGCCTGCCGTCGGAGGGCCCAGCAAGGCCACAAGAGCCATGGAGTTGCGGCTGGGGGGCTACACGGCAGCGGCCGCTGCGGTGAGTGGGAGCGCGGCAGCGGGGGGTGGACGGCCTGGAGCCTGACCTCGGGCCCCGGTCTCCGCGCTGTGAATGAAGGGGCCCAACTTCCTTGGGAAGCGTGGCAGCCCCACCCCCCCTTTCGACTTAGAGACTCAGCTAGTTAGAGGCTCAGCCGGGCGGGGCCCTTCCGCTGAGAGGAAACCCCCGCCCAGGGGCCAGAGGGGTCTAGGGGCCCCAGGCAGGGAAAGCTCTGGGTCCCCCACCTTCCAGAAAGCACGAGTGGGGATGGGGCTGCCTGAGCCTGCAATGGTGCCCTGGCGGAGGGGAAACGTGCGAGAGGAGCTGGCCGGAGACCTCTGCTCTCCTTCTCCCAAGCCTGCTCCGCGCACGGTGGGAGGGAAGCTCGGCTTACCCCACGTCCATGGGCACCTCCTCTACTCAAGAACCGGAGAAGTGGGCTGCTCTGAGAGCAAGCGGGCACCCCCCCCCCCTGCCGAAGTGGGACAGATGGGGCAGGGAGGGGCCCTGCGCGGTGAGCCCTGCTGGAGCCAGCAGCGCCCGTCCTCCAGGTCCTGCTCCTTGTGCTGCCGGGCGCCCAGGGCCAGCACAGCACTCCCAGTCCTAAGTGTGACTGTGCCTACAATTTCCAGAAGAGGAACGGTCTGTTCTGTTGCAAGGGCTGTCCAGCAGGTGAGCCGCTGAAGGGGTGGGAGGGTTGTGGGGGGAAGTGAGGGCAGACAGAGGAGATGGGGTCAGGCGGGGTCAGGAGACAGGGGAAGCTGGGGTGGGGGAAATAGGGAGCCAGAGATAGGAAGGAAGAGAGGGGAAAGTGGGACCCCCTTTGACTGTCTGACCTGGGTCTGGTTTCCATAGGGCACTACCTGAAGGCCCCCTGCCCAAAGCCTTGCGGAACTGCCACCTGCCTTCCGTGCCCCCGGGGCACCTTCCTGGCCAGGGAGAACCATCATGAGACCCGCTGTACTCGCTGCCAGGCCTGTGATGAGGAGGGTGAGGGGCCTAGCTCTCAGTGGGGGCCTCTTGAGGACAGGCCATGGCCAGGGTATTTCTGAAGGCGGGGGCTGCTTGGGCTTAACCTCTGGGTGTGACAGCCCTGTGCCCATGTGTGCCAGGCCCTCCCCCCCATCCTGCCCTAAGATGCCTTTGCCCCCTCTCTTCCTGATGACCCTCCTATCCCTGTATATGCCTCAGCTTTTGATCTGTGGCGATCTCCATGCTTCTCTCCCTTTGGGGGGTAGCCCTCTGTCTGGTCTGTCCCCATCTCCATTTTCCAGGGGATCTGCCCCCAGTCCCCATGGGGGCCTCTGGCTCTGATGGCCTCCATTCTCCCCATCTCCCTGAACACTCTGGTCAGTCTCCCAAGTGGCCCTGACGAACTGCTCAACGGTGGCGGACACCCACTGTGGCTGTGAGCCAGGCTGGTTCCCAGAGTGCTTGGTCAAGTCCTGCAAGATCGGCTCGCCCTTCCGCTGCCACCCATGCTCAGACTGCAGGGCCCTGCACCGCCACACACGGGTGCCCTGTGAGTATCCCCATTCTGGGCTACCTACCCCCCCTCCCTAACTCCCTCTCTCCCTTCGGGACCCACAAGCCATCTCCTGGACTGCAGGTTCTGCCAGAGATACCGACTGTGGGAACTGCCTGCCTGGCTTCTATGAATATGGCAACAGCTGCGTGCCCTGCCCCACGTAACTTCCTGGCTGCCCCTGGGACAGGGAAAGGGAGGCTGGGAGCAGAGTGGGGACCTCAGGGAAGGGGGAGGGAGCTTGGTCCTTGGATGCTAGAGGGAAATCTGCAGTCACCTTAGGACGGATAAATAGGGGGCATATCTTCACTCTCTGTCAGACTTTCCTATAGTCATCTTTCCAGCTATTAAAGAAGCATAGGATTTGTCATTTTATAGAGAGTCACGTTCAAACCTTGGGCTGAGACTCAAGATCTGCCACTTGTTCTCCGGGAGATCTTGGGCAGTTACTTCGCCTCTCTGATCTGTGGCTTCCCCGTGTGAACATGGTGATGTTAGTTGGTTCTCCCCAGGGCTAAGAGTAAGGGGTAAAGCACTTTATCCATTCGTCTGCTCAGCCAAGTGTGCATGAAGCATCTCCCATTTTCCAGAGATGTTCTAGATGCTGGGGATACAACAGGGAACAAAGTAGGCAAATCCCTGTCCTCATGGAGCTGACATTCTAGTGACCCTCAATCTAGTCTACAAGAAACACCATAAATAGTGGTTGTCGCTATTGTTCCTGGGGACACAATTGAAATTTCAGCAGTACTTTGGGAACATTCCTGGGTAGTGTGGCTCCCAGGGAAGAGGCCTGGGGAGGGAAGGGCCTCCAGGATGGAGAAGATGGGTAGCCCCTCCTGGTGTGTTCTCCCTCACCTCCCACCCCACTCCCTCTCCTTGCAGGAGCACCCTCCGGAGCTGTCCTGAGCCCTGTGTGACTATCTGTGGCTGGAGGCAGAGTAAGTGGTGTGCTGGGAATTTGAGCAGGATTGCTGGGACGGGCCAAAGGGAGATGGGGGGGCTACGACCCACCCCTCACCAGCTGTTCTCTCAGTGTTCTGGGTCCAGGTGGTCCTGGCTGGCCTGGTGGTCCCACTCCTGCTTGGTGCTGTGCTGACCTACACTTACCATCGCTGCCAGACTTGCAAGCCCAAGGTTGCTAGTAAGTACAGGCACATGTGCACACGTTTCAGGGGTAAGCCCACTCACCCCTGATGCAAAGTGCTGGGGGCTGGGGTGATATAGGGGAACACAAGAGGAGGTGGACTAGCGCCCAGGTCTAGGGGTCTTGCCTGGTTGCTGATGTGATGCTCTTTGTCTCTCGGCAGATGAAGCTGGGACGGAGGCCCTGACTCCCCGACAGGTGAGCGTATAAGTAATATTCCGGGAAGAGGGTGAGCAAGCGCCCAGGCCTCAGCGTTCTGGAGCTGAGAGGTTGGGCCCTATGAGAACTCGTGATCCCCAGTGTGTGGCACGAGGCTGGCACAGAGTAGACCTAATGAACACCGTGAGTTCACCGAGTTCTGAGTGACTGAGAGCAGCACAGCACCTGTCCCTAAGTGGCTCTCAATCTGCTGGGGCCCAGACAGGTTCAGTGGGATGAGTGCCGCCATGGCCAGGCCTCCGACAGGGTTGGGGGAACAAGAGCAGGGCAGCGAGGGCAGGGTATTCCAGGCAGAAGAAATAGTTCTTCTGGGCCACAGCGGAAGGTTATGGCCGACTGCCGTGGGCAGCCTTGGAGAATGTTTGCTGACTGAGCCAGGGGATGGCCGCTCCGGGCCAGAGACCCCAGACGAGGGGCCTTACTAGGCCAGTTGGGCTGACCTGGGGCTTCTCTTGGCTTCCAGGCCACCCACCTCTCACCCAAGGACAGCACCCACACCCTTCTAGCGCCACTCAGCAATAGTGAGAAGGTCCACACCGTCCAGTTGGTAGGCAGCGGCTGGACCCCTGGCTCCCCCCAGACCCAGGAGGTGCCCTGCCCGGAGGTGGCATGGTCCTGGGACCGGCGGCACAGCAGAGCTCTTGGTAAGAGACCTCACTGGCCCGAGGCCTGGACCCCATTCTCTTTAGTCCCAGATGAGTACTAGTTTCCTGAGGCACCACCTGCCCACTTCCCATCCCGAGCTGATCGGGTGGACCCCTCCCTGGCCGGCCCTGCCCGGGGTTCCCGCCTGCGCCCTCCCCTGCCCCACCCCGGTCCGCGCCTCTAGGCGGCAGTTCGCACTCCCCACGGGCTCTCTCTGGCCCGCCCTCAGGCCCGCCGCCGCCACTTTCGCCAGCGCCCCCTGCAGGCTCGGCGGCCGCCACGCTCCAGCCCGGCCCGCAGCTCTACGACGTGATGGACGCGGTGCCGGCGCGGCGCTGGAAGGAATTCGTGCGCACCCTGGGGCTGCGCGAGGCGGAGATCGAGGCCGTGGAGGTGGAGGTCGGCCGCTTCCGCGACCAGCAGTACGAGATGCTCAAGCGCTGGCGTCAGCAGCAGCCCGCGGGCCTGGGCGCCGTCTACGCGGCGCTGGAGCGCATGGGGCTGGACGGCTGCGCCGAGGACCTGCGCAGCCGCCTGCAGCGCGGCCCGTGACGCAGGGCTCCCGCCGCCGCCTCCGGGCTCCGGCGGCCCCTGCAGAAGTCCTAAGTACGGTTACTTATGCGTGTAGACATCTTATGTCACTTATGAAGCTCCTGGCACGGCCCTGCGTAGCAGCGCCAGCCGCCCTCCCCGCGGCGCGCCCCGGGCTACTGGGTGGGGCAAAGAAGCGTGGACGGATGTCGGGAGGGGGCAGGAGACGGCTCGTTTCTGGGCCTGAGCTCCGTGAGGCCTTGGTATTAAATCTGTGAAGAAGACCTACCGCTTGGTGTTTCCGCGAGGCTGGGGTGTTAAGTGGCCCGGGCTTGGTTTCCTGGGGCCCTCGAAAGGGGGCCGGAAGTCTTGTCACCCCAGGGTCGGGGACCCACGGTGGAGGCCGCTGTGGCCCTTGGCTCCCAGGCTGCCCCTCCCGCTCGGCCGTGCCCCAGTTACCCCGGAAGGGAGAGGAAGTCGCGGCGACGGCGCTAGAGAGTGAACGTCAGCCCCGGCGGCTGAGAGAGCTTTAATGGGGGTGCGGGATGGGGGGGACGGGGAGGAAGCAGGTGGAGACACAAGTGCACGGCCCCCCGCCCCCCGCTCTCTCCACCGGCGCCGCGGAAGGGTCCGGGGAGCGTGGGGCCTGGGTGGGCAGACTTCACGGAACGGGGGAGGGCAGACGATGGGCCCCCGGAGCGGCAGCTCCGTCCCGACGGGCAGGTTGCTGTTCTCATCGCTTCTTGGTAAACAATCGACTGAGAGGAAGCCCTCGGCGGGGATAGGAAATGCGGCCCGGGCGGGCAGGGCACAGATCTGGGTCAGGACGGGAGGAAAACCCCTTCCCCGAGCGTGGGGCCTGCCTCCGCCCAGGATGCGCCAGCCACGCGGGTTCCGGGGTGCGGGGGAGGGGGCTGCAGCCGGTCGCGCGCGCCCCGCAGGGAAACAAAAGCCACCACCCACGGGGCCGGGGAGAGCTCTGGCGACCTTCAACGAGCATGCAAATATATGTAAATGGAAATGCAAATAAGCATCTTTCTGCGTCAACCGCTTGCTTGGGCACTTTTTCTGGGCGACTGCGGCGGCGGGCGCGCTCCAGCGTCGCCCCGGGCTGGGGCTGCGGGGGCCGGAGCGGGGTCAGGGAGGGGTTCCAGCGCGGGAGGGGAAGGCAGCGCGGCTCCCAGCCCTTCCGCCCCGGGCCGGGCAGGCCGGGGCGTAGGCTGGGGCCCCTCGAGCTCACGAGGCTGCGGGCAGGAGGGCGGCATTAGTACTTAGCGATGTCCCCCTTCTTCAGGATGATCTGTCGCTGCCAGGGCGCCAGCTTGGTCTCGTCGTAGCCCAGCGTCCGGAGCTTCTCCGACTGCTCTTTCTCTCGTTGCATCTCCTCCTGCTTCTGTCGCTCCTCTTCTTTCCTGGGCATGGTGTGGGGGCAGAACGGCGGGCGAGTGTGAGGGTGGGCCAGGCACCGTGAGGGGCTCACGGGTGGCAAGGAATGCGTTACGGAGGGCAGGGGCTGGGTTGCTGAGGACAGAGGGGCTAATTATTAGTGGCCAGGGCAATGAATTCCAGGGGCAGAAGGGCTAGGGGACTGGGGTTGGGTCAGGAGGCACAAGAGCAGGGCTGGTGGGGGGCCAGAGGGGCTTGGTTGAGGGCAGACTGGAGTCACTGGGGCACACACAGGAGCTGGGTGAGTGAGAGGCTGTGGATGAATTATTGCTGGCTGGGGAATTACTGGAAACAGTGGTGCTGGGTCAGGGGTGTGGCAGAGGTTGAGGAGGGGGTGAGTTTGGCGGTACTGGGGTCGGGCTGCGGAGAGCAGAGGGACCACACTACTGAGAGGCAGTGGTGGGTAATTAGGAACAGTTATTATAAGATAGGGGCTAGATCTGCAAGGCTGACAAGGTGGCCACCAAGTACGTGCGGCCACTGAGCATCTGAAATGTCAGAGTGAGAAGCACTGTAGGGGTAAAATGCACATGGCATCTCAAAGACTGTTTTTTAAAAAGAAGTGTAAAAAGATCTCATTAATAACTTTTATACTGATTATGTATTGAAATGATATTTTGATATATTGGGTTAAATAAAATATGTATGTTAAGTTCACCTCTTTTTATTTTTTCAAAGTGGCTACTAGAGAATTTAACATTACACAGTGGCTCGCATTATACTTCTATCAGCACTGGGCTAGATTACTGGGGCAGAAACTATGTTTTGAGGGACAGAGATCAAGGTTATTGACACTGAGGTTGGGTTAACTGAAGGCCAGGTTAATGGGAGACGGGGCCTGGGTAATTGGGAACAAGGCTGTTAGGGCATAAGATGTAGACTCTGAGGCAGGGTCTCAGTTACTGGGGGAGAGGAGGCTGGTGGCATCATTGGGAGCAGAGAGGTTGTGCTGCAGACCTGAGTGACAAGGGGATGTGCTCAAATGGGGCTGGACGAAGGGGCGAAAGCACGGTGCGTAGGTTGGGGAGGGGTGGCAGGTCGGGCCCAGTCCCAAACTCACCGCTTCTGCTCCCTAGAAGGAAAAAGAGATAGCATTATCTGGTGCCACCACGTCAGGGACATGATCAAGACATCCCACCAGACCCTGAAGCTTCTGGTTCCCCAGCTCACCTCTCCTCTTCTAGCTTCTTCCGCAGGAGGTCTCGCCTCCAGGCGGGCATGCTGGCCAGCCGGGCCTCCTCCTCTTCCTCCTGAAACACAAGCACAGAGCTTTAGGACCAGCGTGGGTGAGGAGGTAGGGGGACAGAAGGGGTGCACCCCCAGCCCCAGGGGACCCGCACCAGTCAGGGACAATGGGATACAGATGTCCTTCTACAGGGCACTTAGATGAAGGTGCCTGGCCACAGTCCCCTTAAAGGGAGCCTCCCAGGCTCTGGCCCCTTGTAACTCAGGCCCCCTGTGTCCTACAGGTGGCATCAGAGAGATCAGAGCTAAGGTGGAGGGGAGCAGCAGAGAACGAGCTTCCCCACCGGGACAGCTGACAGATGGCCCCAGGCCCCTGACCCAGACTCTGGGCAGACCCCTACGTGGGCCCCCACAGATCCAGCCAGCTCAGAGAGGCTCAAGCTGGCCTCCAGCGTGAAGAACCTTCTGGGCCGTGTGTGTCCTAGTCCCGAGTAGAGTAGACACCACGTCTGCAACTGTGTGGTTGCACTGACTTGGCAGGAGGGGGGCACGCATCCAACACGGGCGGCTTACAACAAAGAGCTTTATTACTTGGAGGTTTACAGAGGAGAACACATCACACGGAACACGACACACGTGGCTCCCTTGACCTCAAAGAAGTAGCTGTGAATTCCAGTGAAAAACCAAAGAGAGGAGCGCCACACTGCCCCAAGGGGGGCCACGGTCCCTCACTCGGAGGGGCTGCTTCTTCCACCCGGCTCCAACACAGAGCCAGGCAAGATTGTAGGGCCAGAGGGGAACACCTGGTTTGCCCTGTGCCCTGCCCTGCCCATTCTGGCTACCGCCCCACATCTGGCCATGGTGGGGCTTCAAAGGCTGCGGCAGCCCGGTCCTCCTGGGCACACTGGGTTCTCCAAGGCCACCCTGCTGGCTTCTGGGTTCTTCCTGCCGGCTTCTGGCCTCCAGAGGGCATCAGACAGGCATTCAGGCCCGTGTTAAGATGCTTGAGGGGAAATTCCGAATTCTGCTCAGATGTCAAAGAGCTCTGCCTCCTTCTCCTTCCAGAAGGAGAAGCTGCGGTCAATGTAGCGGCAGATGTCCTCGTTGCTGAACTCGCCCATCTCAGACACCAACTCCAGGGGATCTTCGGCAGGGGCTTCGGAACTAGGAGGGTCCCATGTGGGGGGAGGAGCGGCCGGCGGAGGTGGGGTCGGGGGCTGCGGTGCAGGAGCTGGGGCCTCGGGCTGCCCCTCTGGCCAGTCCACCATCGGAGCCGAAGCGACCTTTTCCGCCGGCTCCCTCTCCTCCTCCTCTTCTCTTTTCTCCTCCTCTTGCTCCTTCACGGCCTCATCTTCCCGGGCTGGCTCGGCCTCCGGGCTATCTCCAAAAAACTGGCGCCTGAGGTCCTCGAAGCCGTCGCTCCAGCTGCGCCGGCCAGCCTCCACCTGCTCGAGCACCACGCGGTGGAAGAGGCGGATGAGCTCCCACGGGTGGCTGCCCAGCCGGTCGAACATCTCGTAGCACAGCAGGTGGCGGAACTTGCGCTCCTCACGGCTCAGGCCCATCTCGAGCAGCTGGAAGTAGCCGAGCATGAAGAGGTCGAGCGTGAGGCTGTCGTAGCGCGGGGGCGCGCCGCCGTCGAGGGGCGGCAGGAAGTGCTCGGGCCAGTACAGGCCGTGCGCTAGGCCCGAGCCGCACGGCGGGCGTGCCGGCACCTGC